ACATTCTCCTCTGGCCTCCATGCATGCACATACACATACATACACATGCACCCCCCCGCACATCATACTCATACCTCACATACACACTAAACACACACATGCACACACCACATACACACCACATGCATGCACATGCCACACACACACACACACACACACACACACACACACACACACCACAAAGTCCTGGCAGAGGAGTCCATGATTTCAGTTTATGTTAGCATCCCAATGGGGTCTGAGAAGAATCAGTGGTACTCACTCTCACTGGCTGTGATACCCTGGGCCAGACCTTGCCCAGCTCTGGGCCTCAGTTTCCTTGCCCGTACAATGCAGTGTTTTTTTTCTTCAAACTTCAAGGTCTGTGAGTTTAAAAAATTATAGACATTTTCATACAATGTCTTGAAAAACTAAAGAAAACCCCCAACTATAGACCTTTTCAAAGATATGAGATGGAAGGCAGATGTCAATTCCCACAGATGCAGAACTGCACTTCACCTGTTACTAATATGTGTTCGATCTTTTTTCTATGCCCTGCCCATTTCCCCCTCGTCCAGTGGATTATTATTATTATTTTTGGTGTTTTTGAGACAGGGTCTCCCTGTAGCCCCAGCTGGCCTGGAACTCACTATGTAGACCAGGCTGGCCTCGAACTCACAGAGATCTGCCTGCCTCTGCCTCCCATCCAGTGGATTATTTTAAAGCAAATCCCAGGCATTATCAGGTCTCATCAGTATCTACATCTAAAGGACGACTTCTTCAGAAACAGAACCAAGAAGGTATTATCACACTTAGTAACAGCCATTCTATTCCTCAGGCGCTTTGGACAGAAGCTAAGCTGTTGGAAAGTGCTGCTGGGTGATAAGCTAAAAGCCAAACTGCAGCTTCTAGTCTCATTTCCAGCACTCTCTGAACTTGTAGCCAGAGAACGGTCTTGGAGAGAATGGTAATTGTGTCTCTGAAGGAAAGACATTCAGTTTATCAACATGAAAGACCAATGCGGAAGGAAGGAAACAAGCAAATTGAAGAAATGCATACATATATGTAATTAAAGAACACAATCTTTTATGTGGAAAGAAAGGTCTGCTTGCTGAGAGTCAGGCACTGCCCTGAGCACTCTAGGGACACCCTCTCCTTTAACCATTTTTAAAAGCAGGGTCTCAGTGCCAAGTGTAGTGGTTTGATGTCAGAAAGCTTATGACCAGTGATGGGCACACAGCCTAAGGAAAAAAGTGAATGGAAAAATATGTACTTAGGATTGACAAGATGGCTCAGCAGGCAAAGGAACCTGCTGGCAAGCCTGATAATCTGAATTCAGTTCTTGGGACCCACATGGTGGAAGGAGAGAAACAACTCCTGCAAGTTGTCCTTTGATTGCCACACACATGTGGACATATATATGTCTAAATCACCCCCCTCCCCCATGCACATAAAATAAATAAAAATATAATAAAAAGTTTAAACAGAAAATATGTACTTAGTTTAAGCTATCAAGGTAGAAATAGAGATTACATTATATAACCCTGGAGGGGATGGAGCGATGGATCAGCAGTTAAGAGCACTGGCTGCTCTTGTAGAAGACCTGAGTTTGGTTCCCAGCACTTACATGGTGGCTAACAACTGCCTATAACTCCAGTTCCAGGGGATCCATTACCCTCTTTAGATCTCCTCAGGTACCCAGTATGTACATGGTGCACTTACATACATGCTGGCAAATACTCATAACATTTTTATTTTGTGTATATGAGTGTTTTGCCTGCATGCATATATGTGCACCTATGTCAAATAATGCCCATGGAGGCCAGAAGAGGGCGTTTGGATCCCCTGGAACTGGAGTTATTGATGGTTGTGAGCTGCCATGTGGGTGCTGGCAACTGAACCTGAGTCCTCTGCAAGATCAGTCACTGCTCTTAACCATTGAGCCATCTCTCCAGCCCCCAAATAAATTTAAGAAATTATTTAAAAAATTCCATAACCTTGTAATACCAAATAGTTTAAGGTTCCTGAAAGAGAGAACTAAGTGTCTTCCCTAAAACATAATGCATTTTCATCTTGCTGTAAACTGAGCTCTATTCTTCCATGAACTCCGTAAAAGTTACCTCTGAGCCTTTGAACTTGTTCCCTCAGCCTGAAATGCTCTTCCTCTCATTATTCTGGCCCCGCTCGTTACACTTCCCTCAAGCCTCTTATCCTTAAGATGCCCCTTGCCTGCCATAGTGTCACAGTTTGTTGCCTGCACCGTTCATCCGTCACTCTCACCCTGTGTTGTACCAGGCCCTGTATTGCTGTCTTGAACAGTTATTTAAATTCCTGCCTATTTGTCTTGTTTCCTTAACACTGGGGCTCCTTGCCCAGTGCCTGCCAACTGTGGGCATGATGGATTCCCCCATTTGTCAAGCCTTCGCTGAGTGCACAAGCCCGGAGCTCAGGCCTTGGCAGTTAGCAGTGGCCCAGGCGTGCTTCCAGAGCCTCTTCACCGAGGGAAATTGCAGGCCCAAGTTGGTAAGCTGCTGGTACCTTGCCGTATGCTCAGGCTGCTTATAAAAGCAGTTCTTCCTCCACAGAGTTCTCAAGAGCAGCCTTCAGAAGTAGCTAATTGAAGAACACTCAGAGAGGGGTTCCTGCTTGTGGACATTAATTGTGACAATTTACTCTGCCTGAATGATCTTGAAATCACTGGAGGCCCCTTAGCAGGAAGCAAAGCTCAAGGGAAGCTATTAACCATTTAGCATTCTCTAAGCACGGAGGGAATAAAAATTCCACTTACTGCAGAGTAAGGAGAGGCAGTGTTTATTACAGCTGAAGCGATGGCCTGGAGCCATGGCAGTACAAGGGCAGAGCCCAGGGCACCTTGGCACCAGCCAGGGCTCTCCCAGATGTGCTGAGGGGCAAAGCAAAATGGCCAGGAGCACCTTGGCAGTCTCTGTAGGCCATCCTCTGGTGGCAGCTTTTTGAGTGTGCGCTGCTTGTGACAGTCTAGCCTCTTGATGGTGCCACCCTGGTGACTGCATTGCTCTCCTTGAGTGGGTTACTAAAGTGGTCCCGTGTCGGGGGAGGGGAAGGCAGGAGGAGGAGCCAATGGGCTGTAGCTGGAGGAGTAGTGAGTGATTCTGTGGAGAGAGACAGCGGCATGAGCTCTGAGGTGTCCCAGCTCTGTGACTGGGGTTCAGAGCATGGATTGGAAGGTGGGTGGCCCAGTGTTGAGGACCAGTCCCCAGAGCCCTGAAACCCTTCACTTGGCTTGGCCACTTGGGAGAAGCTTCCAACTGTTGAGTGGCAAACTGCCACCCTTTCTGGAGGATATAAACAACTTGTATTTATGGAGGCTTCTTGAGCTCTGGTCCCTGGCTGGGCAGGCATGGGTGGATACCCTTCAGGATTCCTGGACAGCCTTCTCCAGGTACACATGCCCAGACTGTGTCTGGGATTAAAACTGGGTTTTGATTTCGGTTTGAGCTTCACAACTCAAGTCTCACACAGGCGTTGAAGGCAGCCCTTTGGTGCTGGGCTGATCAGAACTGCTGTGCTGGCCTAGCCCTGGTAGACCAGCCTCCCAGGAGGCACATCTGTAGGGAGTTTACTATTTCCTTCTTTGGCTTTGACATGGTGCCTCACAGGACAGGCCAAATCCCTCATCTATGTGGGCCCTTCAGATAGTGGATTCAACTCCAGTCTAAATATGTGTGGTGTCTCTGGATAGTTATCAAACTAGTGCATGAAGGAATCTGAGTTGGGAGATGCAATAAGAGAGAATGGGAGAGAAAAAAAAAGAAAAACTAAAACCCACAAAAGACTCGAGTATCAGGGCCAAGTAGAATGTGGTACAGCAGAAGTGCTTAGAAATATACTTTTTAAGAAATTTTGTTTTTATTTTATTTTATGTGTATGAGTATATTGCCTGCATGTATGTAAGTACACCCATGTTGTGCAGTGCCTACAGGGGTCAGAAGAGGGCATTGAATCCCCTGGAACTGGAGTTACAGGTGGTTGTTAGCTGCCATGTGGGTGCTAGGAACCAAACCCAGGTCCTCTGCAAGAGCAGTCAGTGCTCTTAATCACTGAGCCATCTCTCCAGCCTCGAGAAATGCTTAGAAATATACCACTCTCCTCCCCTCTGATTATTAAAAAATAGTGTCTATTCTCTGTGAAAATGTGAAAACAAAAATTGCTAATACTCCCCGCTCCAGACACACACAGTCACTGTTAGTCTTTTTGTGGGTCTCTTTCCCATGAAACTGCGGCTTTGTAAGTGTTCTTTTCTCTGACAATGGCAAGTTTTTGCATTTCATTAATATTAATTGATGTCATCATTATTAAAAGCTGTTAATTAGTCCCTGATGGTTGGACATTCTCCAGGAACTTTGCATTCCTATTACTCAAGAGGTCCAGTTTGAACTCCACCCTTCGAATTGTAGTCTGACATTCTGTGAGGCCTGACCCTGGCTCATGCCTTCCTACCTCTCTGACAGGCAGGTCAAACAGGTCATTGTGACTTTTGTGTGTTGGATGTGTTTGGAACTTGGTCTGTAGCTATCTGAGAACTGCCTAGGTTCTGCTTGGATCTGAAGAAAAGCTGTGTGAGCTGAGGTCTCATACCTTTCCTCTCACAGTATGTCCCCAGCTGAAATGGGGGCTAAGAGTCCCTGATGGCCCGTCCTTTCCACCTATCCAGCACAAGAATAGCCAAGGCCCTCCAGGTAGTCCTGAGCGTCTGTGGTAGTCAAGAGAGTGCTCTGCCCAGGCCTAGGATGCTCAGGTTGCCCCAGACCTGACTGCTATCTGCTCCTGAGACCTTGGGAAAGGAATCAACCGAGACTGGTTTTTTTCCTCTGTGAATTGGGCATAACTCGTCTGTACCCATCTCACAAGTGGGAAGGACAAAGGAGCTGATGCAGGTGGAAGTGCTCTCTGTAAGCCACACGCGTCAGTAGATTGTGGGACACTTGACAAAGGAGGTCCTGGAACAGAGCGGCAGGTGTACTCACCCTTTGTTCTTCTCCCAGGCACCGTGCACTCATCGGCTGCATGAGCTTTGGGGTGAAGTCTCTTCTGACTCCAGACAAGGTGGGTTTCTAGGAAGCTTCTGGAACAACAGCCCACTTAGGCTTAGGCTGATACAGGCTGGCTTCCTCTAAAAATGCTTGGAGCTTCTATCTGTGACATGGTACCTCACTGAGGTAGTCTGAATTAGAGGTTGTTGTCACTGGCCTGGCTGAGGGCTTGGGTCCCCTTCAGAAAGAGATTTGGCAGCCTGTAGGCCCCCTAGGAAATGTTGAGTCTAATGGTCCATGAAGGACACTGGCAGGTCCCTTGGGGCAGAGCACTCCTGGCTTGCCCTGGATGAGAGGACTGGGTGCCCTTGGCAGCCCATGGCAAGGGTCCTCCTGATGCATCTGCTGGGTTCAGCAGGTGCCCTGGAGGAGGGAGCAGCACTGCTATTGATGGAATGAATATCCCTTCTTTTAGGTCATATCCCTTGTCCACCCTTACTTGCACTGCACCCCCTAACTGGAAACCCTGAGCAGGTGGGAGTACACTCCTTTTGCACATTTTGGAAATGACCTGGTGGCCTGTTTTGTGACCTGCTGCCCAGCCTTTGTGTCATGGAACAAGGTCAGGGGATGTCTATGGGTCCCTGTGATCCCCTAACTGCAGCTGCAGCATTAATTTTCCTCAGAAAGGTGCTCCCCATGGAGACTGCCTAGGGGTCTCAGAGTTTCTACTTTAAAATATTTTTTTTTGGTCTTTTTGAGACAGGGCCTCCCTGCAGCCCCAGCTGTCCTGGAACTCACTATGTAGACCAGGCTGGCCTTGAGCTCACAGAGATCCGCCTGCCTCTGCCTTCCAAGTGCTGGGATTAAAGGTGTGCGCCACCACGCCCGGCATTCTACTTTAAATTTTTATTTACTTTTATTTTATGTTTTTGTGTGTTTTACCTGAATGCATGTAAGTGCATCTGTGTCAGGCAATGCCAGAAGAGATCAGAAGAGGGCATCAGATCTGGAACACAAGTTAGCTGCCACATAGGTGCTGAGAACTGGACCTGGGTCCTCCGCAAGAGCAGCCAGTGCCTTTAACTGCTGAGCCATCTCTCCAGCCCAGAGCATCTACTTTTTTGGCCTTCTCACTGCTCCTTTACTCCCTCCTTTTTGTTCTCTAAACAAATGTTTAATGCGCTCCTACTGTATACTAGACTCAGTATTAAATCAAAGAGCTTGTGCATGCTCCAGGTAAAGGGGAAAGCAGGCAAGTCCACAGTTGTCTTCCAGGGATAAGAAGCTGAGAGACACTGACTTCTACCCAGAGCATCGGGGAAGGCTTCCTGGACATGCAGGGGGCAGCCATCGGGCAGGGAGGCTGGACCATCTGTTTCTGAGGAAGGATGTCTAGCCTGCTACTTTTCAAGGGGATTGGTGGCTGCCTGACTTGTGCCCTCTGCCTCCTTGGTCTGATCATGTCATTCTTTCTCTCGTGACAGGAGATCAGTGGTTGGTACTATCTGCTAGGGGAGGACCTGGGCCGGACCAAGCACCTGAAGGTGGCCAGGCGACGGCTACGGCCCCTGAGAGGTGTGTCCACATCCTTGCAGCTCCTCGTCCCTTCTTCCTGAGTGGAGCACCAGTCCCTGCCTCCCCAGGGATTTCTCACCAGTGCCTTCAGGACTGCCTAGGGCAACATTACCATATGGTGTGGACTTTCCTCAGAGTGGGTGTCACCTGGCCCCACACAGATCGGTTCCCCTGCTTCACTCACAGAGGCTGCAGGACTTCCCGAGACTCCTTCTCAGACTCCATGTCTTAAGCAGCCCCTCTGCACTGTCTGCTGACCTTGGGCTGCCCACCTCTGTAGACCGGCATTTAGGCCCTGCCCTGAACCTCAGGCTCAGGGTTTGGATGTCTCCTCAGTCTTGTCCTTTCCCATGCAGCCCTGGCTCCCAAGCCCCACCTGACCTGAGCTTTGGCCTCCTTGTGTCTGGGAGGCCAGGAATGGTCCTGACAGTTTCACCCTTGGAAGGTCTGGTGCCTGGGCCCTTTCTGACTCTGCTCTGTTACCTTCTAGACATACTGTTGAGAATACCAGGAGATGAGGACCCTGAGAATGGTGAAAAACTCCAGGTAGGTGGGGACAAGGTTGTGTGGGACTGGTGGAACGTGAGCGTGGCTCCAGGGGCACTCTGGTTCCCCCCTTGTCAACCTCTTGGTCTGAAAGAGGGCAGCACTTGGTGCACTGTGAAGAGAGAATTCTTGACTTTCCTAAGGTGTGTCATAGGAAATAGATGCTTTTCTCAGGTTATTCATGTTTGTAGAGATGGGAAGAAGCCAAGAAATGGAGGTGACTGGATCTGTCTGGCTTTGGGCCTCTGGAAACGGAATCCTCCTTTTCCCCTAGATCCCCAGGCTCCCAGCTTTCCCTAGAACTACAGCCAAGTCACCTTCTCAGGTTAGGCCTGTGAGGCTGGGGAGCGACCATGAACCTGAGAGTGATGGGTTCTCACTCCATAAGAGCTTTGAATCTGGAGAGGAATGGCACAAAAGGATTTGGGAGAATTCTCCAAATTGCAGAACCTGTAAAGGTGACCCACGGTTCTCTCTAACTTAAAGAAGAGAAATTAAATCCCCAGGGATCAATTAACCCTTTAGTACTATTGTGATCTAACCCTCTCCACCTCCTCTGAGGTGTGGTAACCATTCCCCCTTACAGATAAGGGGACACATAGACTCAAGAATGTTGTGTCACCAGGTATGGTGGCATAGGCCTTTAATCCCAGCAGTCAGGAGACTGAGGCAGGAAGATTTCTCTGTGAGATTGAGACCAGCCTGGTCTACATAGTGAGTTCCAGGCCAGCTGGGGCCACAAGGAGACTTTGTCTCAAAAAAAAGAGTTATGTTGCTTCTGTGGCCACACAGCAGGTAGTGGACAATGGCTCTGAGAAAGGTGTGGTCTTGTCCCTTCTGTGCACTGTGTCACGCTGTCTCTGGAGTGTGTCCTAGCTAGGAAGACATGATGTTGGTATATTCCCTGACATCTTAACCTACAGGTATATTGCAATCTAGTGAACCTCTTCACTTGACTCCATTCATCCACTCCATCCTGCGTCATGAGGTGGCTACATGTGTATGGACCCAGCCTGATGCTGGGTGCCAGGATAGAACAGTGGTCCAGCCCTTGTGAAGCATACTGTCTAGCATAATGGCTGCTTGCTGCCTGTGGTTATAGAGCACTTGGTTGTGGCTAGTGGAACTGAAGAACTCAACAGCAACTTCATTTCATTTTAAGTAATTTCACTTTTCCCTGGACATAAGTCTAGCTCCTGTTGTATTGGACACCACAGTGTTGAAGAAACTTGCTAGATCTGTTTTCTGTGACTTAACTGGGACTAGCTTCAGGGGATAGCTGCAAAGATCTTCCTTCCTCTCTCTGTGAGAGGGTGGTGATCAGGGAGCCACCCTGGTGATTTGTGGGAACTACACGTACGTCAACATTACAGGTCTCTCAGTGGCTTATTGAAAGTCCTGCTTTGTCCTAGAGACTTTTGCACAAAGTCCTAAGTCCCTGGGAACACTGTTCTTAGGTGCGTTGTATTTGGGGACTTGTATACTTAGAGTCTGTAGTGCCTAGCAAAGACAGTATGCTTGGCAGAGGCTTGGGGAAAGCTACTAGAGGTCACCTGTTCAAATCCTGCATCCTGAAGATGGGGAAAGAGAGGACTAGAGATGTGGGTTACCTGCCCATGGACACAGAATAACCAAACCAAAGACAACCTCTATTCTCTTCTGTAGACATATGTGAGCAGGTGGGCTTCCTCATGGGCTCCTAGATGGGCAGAGGGGGCTGGGCTGATGCTACTCAGTAGGAGGTGATCCTGGGACTACAAGGTGGGGACTGCAGGGCCTGGGTTCTGCCCTGGCATTTGACTGTAACCTTCCACCGTTTCAGTTTCTATATTACTAAGATGTGGAGGCTGGATTCCCTGATGGTTTGGAACCCACTTTCACATTTAACCATATGACCCATGAACCTTCAGTCCCTTCATGCAGTCCACTTTTGTGGATGAAGAAACTGACTTTTAAGAAGCTCTGGAGTGATCGTCAATCTTCAGATATTTTTGTTCCCTGACTTGTGATGTGCTGTTTATAGTTTCAATGCTCAGGGCACCCCACATTGTATCCACTGGGTTAGTCCCCTGGATTTGCTACTGGGAACTCTGGGACTTGCAGGGAGGCATGCTGGTGCAGAGTGGGGTGTGTTTTCTGCCTGAGTTTCCCTCTAGCAGGCAGAGAGGGGTGTTTGTGAGAACACTGAGCTCACAAAGTGGCCCAGGGCAGAGAATGCAGTCAGAACAAAGGCGCCCTCTCCCCGCTGGGCCCGAGGAATACTAACTAGTTGACAGGAATTTTAATATAAAACTCTCCCTCTTCCTTGTCACTGTGAGGTTTCAGGAAGCCTTCGGGCTTATCTGCAGAGGCACACAGTGCAGACGGGGCTTGGGGAGGTGAGAGGTGATTTCCTGCCATTCTTCTGTGAGCCGGGCTTCCCAGGGCGATCATGCCAGGCTGACGGGGCAGTGTGGGCTCCCGCTGCTGGGGGGAGAGCTGGGTTTTCATGGGGCGGCAGCCGAGACAGGACCTGCAGCCATGAACCGCTTCAATGGGCTCTGCAAGGTGTGCTCAGAGCGGCGCTACCAACAGGTGGGTGCTTGGCCCTTTGGGGTCCCATGTGAAGCTGTGAGTTGATGGGAGAGCATACCCATATAGGACGTCTCTCTCTACAAGACCTTCTACGTCTCCTCCTGCAGGCACATTTCAATATGGGGGAAAGATAGAGGCTAGGGCTAGACCCATGGCCCAGCCTGCTACCTGCTGCTCCATGTTAGAGGCAGCTGAGGCTGGCCCTGTGTGTTATCCTATCCACTGGTGATTGTTCTTGGTGAGATCATTTAACTGATTTTCTGCTCTTATCATCTGGGGAGGGGGTGATTGTTAACATAGGCACCTCAGATCTAGACTGCTAGTGGCTTGGGGCTAGGCAGCTGGGTGTTTCTGGAGGGCTGTATTTTTACTGACTTCTTACTTCTGATGTGCAGCAGCACCCATTCTGTCCTTTGTGTGTGGTGGTGTGTGCTGTGTGTGAGGTAGGATATCTCTGTGTGTACATATGTGTTCCCCCTGTCACCACGATGCCTTGAGGTGGCTTGGGGTTCCCTGTGGCTTTTGAGTCCAACTTCACTGAGGTGTTTACTTCTTAACCCCTGGGCTTGGAAGCTGGGGCAGAGAGGGGAGTGGTGGCCATGTTTGCCCCTGAGATTCTTCTGGAACTGGGCTTTTCTTTCTTATAAAATAGGAGTGGGGTCAGTGAGGATGAAGGTAAGAGATAACCAGATTTGGGGAGTGTTCAAGCTGGAGGGAGCATATGAATTGTTCTGTCTGTAAAAATTCTCTCACTGGAATCTGGGTCTTGACTTTTTAGTGTGTAGGTCCCAGGGAGATGTCTGGAGGGTCCCCTGTACCCATATCTTTCACTTGGGGACCCAGATGTTCTCATCAATCTTCCCCAGCTCTCAGGTTTTGCCCTGATGGCCCCAACATGTGCTTTCTGCCTTCTTCAGCTGAGCAGAACAGTTGTGATGTGAGCATTTGGGAGGCAGAGTGGTAAGGCAGGAGGAGCACTAGATGGGAAGATACAAAGTATCAGGTCTCCTTTGGCCAAAGGTCCAGGTGACTGCGTTGTGGTGGTGGTCAGCATAGGGCCAGCTGTATATATGGGCTGGGCCTATGGCTCTGGACTCAGAGCAAGATGGCTCCTGCATTAGAAGCTGGGGCAGAATTGAGAGCTCCAGACTTTCTGTGGGACCGGAGCTACAGGTCAACTTGGCTCCCTTTGGCTGCTTCTCTTGAGCAAGTCACTTTACCTCTCTGAGACCTGGTTCTCTTGCCACTGAAATAGGGACAAGCCTGTGGGAATAAAGGGACAGTGTATATGAAGCACTTGGCTCAGTGTCTGCCGCCTACATCTAGGGAGTGGTCAATAAATGGTGGCAGCTGGGGACAGAAGTCCAGATGTGGCAGGACATCAGGGACTTAGGCAGGTTGTCCAGCATGACTGAGTCACGGGAGCGGTGGCAGTACCTGCCCTTGACAGGAAAGAACAAGAACGACCCAGGGAAGGGCAGCCTCTGTCAGGAGTCTTTGAGCTCTCAGAGTCAGGGCAGGATGGTCTGGCTCCTCAGGCCCGAGGTCAGAGAGGAGGGATGGTGGGGGATACTTACTTTGGACCTTGGACTTTGATTTCCTTCTCTGTAAAATGGGCCTGCAGAAACCCCCTTCCCTTTGGGGTACAGTGATGGACAGACTCTTTGGATACCACCTTCTGCATGCTCAGTGGTCATGATGGCCAGAGCACAGGTCTGCTGGCATCACAGTCCGTCACAGTTCTTACTTCTTCACATTCCCTCTCCTATCTCCCCTTGCTTGCTACCAGGGTTGGACTGTGCTCCGGGCTGGCGCTTGGAAAGTGGAGGGGCTCCTGTGCCAGCCTGGGCCAGAGCACCAGAGTGTGGAAACACATTCCTCTTCGGACTTAGCAGTGGGGCCACTACCCCAAAGCTGTTAGCCCCTGAGCTGGGGGCTAGGGCCCATTCCTAGGCAGGAGAGGCTACCCTCGGTGCCATGGTGGGATAGGATGGCGGCAGTGCTCGATAGACTTCTGAGTGGCTTAGAGGGTGGGCTGCAAGTCCCCTGCAGATCTCTGCTGGTCCCATAGACTAGTTCCTGCTGTCCTCTCTGGGCTCAGGCTGGCCTGGTAACCAGTGGTCTCTCTTTTTCTCTAGCTTTCCACACTCTCCTGGCTTTGTTTTTCTTTCTTTCTTTCCATTTTTTTCTCTTCCTGCCTTAGCTATGTGTTTTCCCAGAATTCTTATGGGAACAGGGTATTTTCCTGCCCCCTCCTCCTTCCCCTTGTCTGTCAGATTTCCTGTTTTAAAAACTTGCTTTGAATCCAGGCCCAAGGCTGGTGGGAAGCAGAGCCTCGGGGGCCCTTGTTCAACCTGGGCTCCTGCCTGTTCCCCTTTCTTGTACCTGGCCTTAGGATACCAGCGGGTGAATGCAGGTGCCCAGACCTAAGAGATAACCCTTAAAGAAGGAGACAGTAGGCAGGTGCCCTTAACCCTTTCCAGGCTTGCTGAGCTGTTTCCTTCCTCACCTTGGCCAGGACACCTTTTCTTTGTGCTTCTTTGGGATCTACTCTGAGTCCTCCCTCTTCTAGAGGTCTCTTGGGTGCCTTCTGAAAGTCCTTTACTGACTTAGTCTAAATGAGCCTCTGGGCTATGCTGCATACCAAATCATTTTTTAAGGGGGATGCTGCCACTGCCCTCTCTGACAAAGCCTTTGCTAAGCTCCTACCATGCACGGGTGTGGTGTGTGCAATCACAGCACACAGGATTGCTTGTGGCCCAGTCCTGTCTTGCTCTGTTGCTTGTCACGCTCTGCTGGAGAAATCTGTGTGCACTTGTGCTTCTCAGAGACCAAGGCCTTATGCCTGTGTATTTCTGTAAGGCCTGTCACAGAGTAGGAGCTGGATTACAGTATGTTGATTTGGAAAGAGCATTCAGATGTTACAGCCCTTTGGTGGGACTTCTAAAAGTTGAGGCTGGGCTCCTGCTGTGTCCACAGCCCTCCTCAGGCACAGTGAAGTCAGAGGCTTGGGCAGGTTCAGTCACGGGGCCTGGCTGTGCCTGCCTTCTCACTTGGGAGCCCTCACTGGCTTCTAGGGGGCTCTGATCAAGCTTGCCTGTGAACCCCAGCTCTCTTTCTCTGACCCTTGGCCAGAAGCTGAGTGAGTGTGGCCTAGTTTTCCCTCCCTGGAGCACTGGGAGGGCAGACCCCTGTTTGGTTTCATTTCTGGGTCCCTCACCCAAGGCCAGCCCTCAGCTGAGATCCCAAGACCTCTGTGGGAAAGGAAGACGGGAGTGGGGCAGGCAGTGGGCCTTGGGTTGGGAGGGGAGGTGCGTCTCCCGAGGGCCCTTGGGTAAAGGGCTCGAAACTCTTTTGCCAGGACCAAGGTGGGCAAGGCCCACCTTTCCCAGACCCCCGTTCATTCTGGCCTCTGCATTAGCTGCCAGCCTCCTGCTTGGCTCATAAATTGGTGGTAAGATGCCTGGTCTCAGATAGGGACAGGGAGGCTGACTGACTCCTTGGCTCTGGTTCATGAGGAGAGGAGGGTGGCTTTGGGTGGGGCTTATGAGCTTCCCAGCTTCAAAACTCTGCAGTGACTGGGCAGGGCTGTGTCCTAGATCACCATCCCGAGGGGCAAAGACGGCTTTGGCTTCACAATCTGCTGTGACTCTCCAGTCCGAGTCCAGGCTGTGGATTCTGGTAAGTGAGTGGCACAGGATGCCAGTCCTACTCTCCCATCAAGCAGCCAGCCTTTTCAGACAGTTTGGAGCTGGAAGGGGTCCTCACACTGGAGTGGAGTCTAGGTTTTCAAAAGGAAAAGAATAATATATTTTTATTTATGACTACAGATGAATCTAAGGTTTATGAAAGTAGACCCATTTTTAAAAAATTAAAATGATGATAGATTTTGTATTTTGATTCCCAGTCCTTTTGCTTTGGTACCACTGCTCATTTAGTGTCTTCAGTCCTTTAGTGATTTACAAAATATGTGTGGGTCAGATAGCAATGTAATAAGATTCATCTGCTTCTTTAGCTCTTACTGTTCCCCCCCTTTTTTTTTTGTCTTTTTGAGACAGGGTCTCCCTGAAGCCTCAGCTGTCCTGGAATGCACTATGTAGACCAGGCTGGCCTTGAACTCACAGAGATCCTCTTGCCTCTGCCTCCCAAGTGCTGGGATTAAAGGCATGTGCCACCACACCTGGCCTGATTCCCAGTCGTTTTTGAAGAGAAACTAAACTTGAACCTTTGTAATGTCTGCATGAGAGATGAGAGCCATTTATGAGCTCTATTTGGAATTGGTATTTCAATCTATTTGCAAATTAGAGATGGACATTCCTAGCTGGGTGCAGGGGCTCATTCCTGTAATCTCAGCACTCAGGAGGTAGAAGTCCAAGGTCAGCCACATCTACATAGTGACACCTTGCTCCCCACTACCACCACCAACAAACAAAAACAAACAAGCAACAACAAAATAAGTAGATGCTAGGAAGATAACTCCATTGATGAAGTGCTTACCTTTTAAGAATGAGGCTCTTGAGTTTATTCCCTAGAACCCATGTAAAAAAGCCAGGCATGGTAACTCATGATTATAATCACACTACTGGGGAAGCAGAGACAGGATGCTTCCTGGGGTTCCCTGACCAGCTAGCCCAGCCTACTTGGTGATTCCCAGGACAGTGAGAGACCATGTCTAAAGAAAAAAAGAACAGCACCTGAAGAGTGACGCTTGAGGTCACTCTTTACAAGGTCTGGCCTTTACATGTATGTACATATATGTGCACATGTACACATATATAATCTCACACATACACACACACACACCATCAGTAATAGCAACAAAAGGGATGTTCCTTCTTTACTGTTCTAGGAGGCACCTGGATAGAAGGACAGGTAGTGCAGGGGGTCGGGGGGACACACCAGGGTGAGAGGAGGAGAGGACATAGGGTGCTGCCCTCACTGGTCACCTAATTTAGCACCTCATTTCACAGATAGGGAAACAGAGAGGAACGGAGCGGGGGTGGGAGGCAATTCTTGTCCAAGTTGCCAGGGAAGCAAAGGACTCCATGTCTTGGCCTCAGTGGTCCTCTAGCAGCTTTTCCTGTTCTTACAGGGGGCCCGGCAGAGCGGGCAGGGTTGCAGCAGCTGGACACGGTTCTACAACTGAATGAGAGGCCTGTGGAGCACTGGAAATGCGTGGAGCTGGCACATGAGATCCGGTGACAGGGGTTGTGGGTGGTGGAAGCCTCTGCTGATGGCATATCTTCTCCACCCAGCCCTGGGCACACTGCCTCGCTCCACCCCACTCTTGCTGGTCCCTTCTTTGCCCAGCTGTGAGCAATTCTCATTGCTCCTCAGGGAATCCATTTCTTGGCCTAAAAACAGAAGGTTCAGGCTCAGATCAATTTTGGATCCCACAGCAAACAGCAGGAAAGAAGCTTTCTAACAGACCCTGCCCGTGGTCTCTGACATGTCTCCTGGGGATCGGTTCCACTTTAGCTAATTATTCCTGCTATTGAAGAGCTAAACCCTTTGTTTAAGGGTATGTAGACAGTTCAGAAGTTTCAGTTGCACAATTTAAACTTTATTCTATAAAATATTTGAGTCCCTTGAATTTGACCTCCTGGGGTAAGACCCTAATGGCCTGTTTAGATTTGATTCTACAATGACTGGGTGAAAACAGCATTCTGGTAGTTTGCTTGCCCCACCTTGCTTGTATCTTGCCCACAGCAAGTGCTCTCTCTTGTTGAGTCTGGCCTTGGCCCTCAGCATCCTTCTTAGCCACTGCTGAATGAGCCTTAAGTTAGAGTTGATCGTAGACCCCTCTAGGTCTCTGCTTGCCATGGGCTCCTCCATCCCTTCCTGCCCCACTGGTAGTGTCTCTCTGTGTTTGCTTTCTCTTCTCTTGCTCTCTGGCCTGCAGGCTCCCCATCCTGGCTGACTTTGGTGTCCCTCAATCTGAACTTCTCTGTGGAATTTCCAGGAGTTGCCCCAGTGAGATCATCCTGCTCGTGTGGCGTATGATCCCTCAAGTGAAGCCAGGGCCAGACGGTGGGGTCCTGCGGCGGGCCTCCTGCAAGTCAACACATGATCTCCTGTCACCCCCTAACAAGCGGGAGAAGAACTGCACCCATGGTATCCAGGCACGACCTGAGCATCGCCACAGCTGCCACCTGGTGTGTGACAGCTCAGATGGGCTGCTGCTTGGTGGCTGGGAACGCTACACCGAGGTGGGCAAACGTGGGGGCCAGCACACTCTGCCGCCACTGTCCCGGGCCACGACTCCTACTGATCCCAACTATATCATCCTGGCCCCACTGAACCCTGGCAGCCAGGTATGAACAGCTGGTGTGGGGAAGGGGAAGGGCACTGGGTCCCTGTGGGAGGTTAAGATATCTCCAAGACATAAAATTGTAATGTGAGGAGCCTTCGAGGGGTAGGGGTTGGGGGATGGGGAGGGTAGAGAATAGGGTGTGTGTGTGGGGGCTTGGTAGTGTTAGTCAAGAAGATGGGATTAGTGACCTCTGGCCTTTGCAAGGCTGACCTGGGTAGAGACCAGCCTCGGAACAGAGGTGAAGCCAGAACCCACTCACTGCCGGAAGTGATTCTACCAGACCACAATTTTCTGCTGTGTGCTCTCCTTTCCTAGGTGATCAGCCCCCTCTCATAGGAAGTATGCACACAGATACTGCATGATTGTGTGGTGGGATGATGGAGAGTTACCCCCCGCCCCGAAAGAAACCATTAGTCCCATGAGATACTCTAGGAAAAAAACAGTGTTCCAAGGTCATGAGCTTTTGGGAACTATTCTGTACTCTTCCCTTCTGGAAGACTCCCAATGCACATTAGTCTTTCTAAGGTTTGAAGGGCATCCGGCAATGAAAGTGGCTTTACCTTGTTTAACCCAGCATTTCTCAAACTTCCTCCAGCTTTCTTCCCACCTCTGCTCCTTAAGAGAGCTGCTGTGTTTCCCTCACGCCCTGAGGTGCTCCGCTTCCTCATTCCTGGGGTTGAGCTGCTTCTCCTGTTTCTCTTGCAGCTGCTGCGACCTGTGTACCAAGAGGATACCATCCCTGAAGGTAAGTTGTCCACTATACCATGCTCTCTGGGCTTGGAGAGACAGTTAGCTCAGCCGAGGTCCAGCTCAACTTCCTGCCCTAAGTTCAGAGGCCTTCTGACAAAGTCAAGGCTGCCTACCATGTTGAGACAGACAGACCCTCTTTCTCTTCGGACCCTTTCCCCTTCACTGAACAAGAGTGTATTTCTTTGAAGCCAGAACTGAGGAGGACAAGGGGGAAACTTCAAGAGCCGTCTAAGAGACAGGTGCTCAGGACTCAGGCATTTGGCTGTTAGCCAGTGTTGCTGAGCAACCATATCTGTTAGGGACTATGAGCACCAAGGTTGGGCCTAAATGGAAGGTAGTCCTGGAATGTGGAGCTGGGAGGCCTCAGGTCAGAGTTCCCACTGTTGAGCTTTGAGCGAGTCATTGTTTCCTCACTGTACCTGTGAAATGGGGTCAGCGGTTCCTGTTCAGGGCTTGTTGGGAGGATTCCGTAGGAAAATGGTTGTGAGCAGTTGGCTTCATGTTGAGAGATGGTATTCAGGGCAGTCATCTCTGAAGTGCACAGAGTCTCTATGTTTAATGGAGTCTTCTCCTTTGGCCTGCAAATCCTGGCCAGAAATGGAAGTTGGCACAAAGCAACCACTTCTCCAGGAAGCCTGGGATATGGGTCTCCATGCAGGAGCTGGCAGGGCCTGCCCTTAGGCCCTCACACACCTGACACAGATCTCTGACCCAAAAGTCCAGCTGGCCTGGAATGTTAAGACCAGCCTTGCCAGGTGGCCTGTGAGGCCCACCTCGAGTGAGATTGAGCCGTAGTGCCTACCGAATACCCTTGACCTCCTTCCTTAAAAGTGGGCTTTCCTGAAGCCAGAGCAGTCTGTGTCCCGATTCCCTATTGGCAATTTGGGTAACCCCTTCAGAGGATGGCGTGATAAGAATAGGAGGTAGGAATTGGCTAGGCAGGGTAAAAAGACCCCAAAGAAATGTAGGCAGTTTCTTGGCTAAAAGTCAAAATGTCATTGGGATTCTTAGCAACATACTCTGTTCCAAAGGCCAAAAATGTCAAAAGTATTTTGGAGCTTGTATCTAATCCTTAAAAGATTTTAGGGTTACCTCTTCAGAGGGGGGAATGTTAGAGTAGCCAAAAGCCCCATAAAAATAAATAAATGAAAGAAGAAAAAAAAAAGTGGGCTTTCCTCAGCCAATCTGAGATTTGTTTTGTGCTGTTCCCTTCATCAGTGATGTGATGGATATTTGGGCCACTGAGGAGAGGGGCTTCCATCAGCCTCAGGATTGCTGATGGAAGGTCCTTTTCCTCCCTGCTGGGGCCTGTGCGCAGTTGGGCCTAGCCTGCCAGAAAAAGAAGCTATGCTCCTTCTGGGGAGGAACCTGATAGAGATTCAGCAGTAAGTGTCTAAAAAGCTTTTAGTGGGCACATTAGGTTAGAATGAAGATGTCACTGCTAAATGGTGACTTTAAGGGTAGGACTAGGTCTGGTGTAATTTCGTGGGCCCAGCATCAGATCCAAGGCTGATTGGGCAGCCCGAGACTTGGTAGAGTTTTGGTAGAGTGATAAAAGAGAATGACTCTGGTTGTCTGTATAGGTTTGAAGCCTAGTCATTGAGTAAGGCAGATGGGGAGGTGTGTCGCCTATGTGGGCACATGGATGTGGGTTGGGATCTCTGGAATTTGTTCCCTTGCAGTTCCAGAGATACCTCAGTGGTTGGTTCTGAACTATGTTTTTACTCCCTTCTGAAAATACAATATTGAGAAGGGCACAAAGTCTAAGAAACGAATGAAGATGATGTTAATAACAACGGCAACCTTCTGAATGTCTTCTATCAAGGTCTTGTGTGTGTGTGTGTGTGTTCATGTTTGTGTGTATGTGTGTGAAGGTCAGAGGTCATCCTCAGTTATTATGCCTCAAGTCTTACTTTTTTGTGACAGACTCTCTCACAGGGACCTGAGGTTTGCTGATTAGGCTAGACTGGTCAGCCAGTGAGCCCTAGGGATTCACCTGACTCTGCCTCCCCAGTGTTGGGATTACAAGCACATGCCACCATGCCTAGTTTTTTTATGTGGGTGCTGGGGATCAAACTCAGGTCCTGATGGTAGTGTAGCAAGCACTTTACCAAATAAGCCATCTCCCAGCCCTGTGTCAAGATCTTGATTTGATTCATTTATATTTCATCGCAATGATTCTTTTGGTATCAGAGGGTATCTTTGCCTGTTCCCGGGGGTTCTTTGCAGCTCCAAGTCCTGGAGTTTGGAGGAAGGAGTGAAATTCAGGGCACATGGCTTCCCTTACACACACTCGGGGTTGTCCAGAGGTTAGGGCTGTCAGTAGGGTACCGCCCTCTGAGTCCTCTGGATGGCCTGCCAGGAAATAGCCTTTCAGGAGGCAGAACTCAGCTATTCTGCTTTGAATAGCAGGAATGGCTCAGCCATCCTGCGTTGAATGGGGTCTGATGCCCTTCCAGAGCCTGGATTGCCGGTCTGGGTGTAATTGGCATGTGCCCCAGGGCTACTGGTGCCCTCAGCTTTGTCCTCTGTCCTGTGAGGGCAGCCTGGCCTCAGATTCACCACTGCCAGGGTTGGATGATTGCCAGAGCTCACAAAGCTGGGAGCAAAGCTGTGTAATTACTGTGTTTGGTCAGGGAGGCAGCATTAGAAGAAATGGGGATGATACTGGATTTGGGCATGAGAGGTATCAGGTGGGAAGTAACGAGTTTGCCTTCGTGGATCTCAGCAACTGGGTTGCAATCTGGACTGTTCTAAAAAAAGGATAACTTGGGAAATCATCCTGGAGAGCCACAACCTTTGTCCCATATCTCCAGAGGGGTGTGGCTAATGAGCTCAAGGGCGACTGCCACTTGGGTTGGGACTGCTCCTGCCTGGAATCATTTATGAGCAGAGTGACCTTGGGCAAATTGGCTAAGCACTCTAGGCCTCTGTTTTCTTGTCTAGAAAATGGGGGTAAGCAGGTCTTTCCTCTCTGAAAGCAGAATGATAGGTCAGGTGGCCCAAGGTGAAGATTCTTTGACAGCTGGGCAGCTGGGCCAGGGAAGGGAAGAAACAGAATGTTTTGAAAGCCTGAGACTTAGGGCACAGCACCTAGATTTTGCCCTTGTAAACTGTATCTTTCCTTCATTTTGGTCTAGTTGGTCTCAGACCCTGCTTGTCAGTCCCAGGTGGTTTTTACCTTCTCTTCTCTAGAATGTCAAATTAGCCTGTCCAGTTCAGGCTGCCCTTGTGACTGCACCCACAGCATGGTTCCAGGCCTAGTGGCCTTCTCTGTCCTGCTGTCTCAGATGACTGGCTTAGGGTTTGAGATAATCCATCCCACAACCACATACCACTCTGGTCCTCCGAACCCTTTCCCATGGGGCCTTTGGTGTGTGTTCCTACCTGGCTGCCTGGACCAGGTGAGATAATAAAGTAGATTATCTTCGCATTGTCCAGAGAGGGATGGAGACTGTTTGGTGTTGCATAGCCAGTCTTTGACTTGGGAAGTCAGAGCTCAAGTTTAGGGGTCTTAGTCAACTGGAATCTAGGTTAGATCTTGAGATGCTGGGTGGGTTCTCTCAGTAGAGGGCCAGGTTGGATACGCAGGGCCTCTCTACCCCTTGTCCTCCCCAGGAACTATATGACTTCTTCCCTGGCCGCCTGTCTCTATCTGGGTATCTGTTCTTTTTGCTTTCTAAACTACTCATAAAGTGGCAGGAAGTGGTTTGAGTTCCTACAGTTCTTAGTGCTGCCCCCAGATTCAGCTGTGATCACTGGTCACCTGTGGAGCTGGGGGCAGTTCACTTGTTTTTCTCACCTCTCTGTGAGAAGAAGTATAGGGTGGGAAGGAGGAAACAAGTGTGAAACCTCTGAGCTGTGACCTTACTCTGGTGGCAAGGTTGGTGGGGAGCTTTCCTGAGAGGTAGCTGGTTCAGGCTACCTGTTCAGCTCTGGCTGCAGAAAGCTAGGGGAAGCCTGGGCTCTGAGATCCAGACCTGGCACCCTGGTCAGGGAAGGGCTGGCCTGTTTCTCCTGGTAGCAGGAGCCAGTGGAGAGCGGACCCTGCTGTTCCCCTGGCAAAGCCCATTGTCTCTGCCACCACCATAGGGAACAGATCTTTGTCCACAGAGCCTGGGAAGGAGGTAATGGGTAGAGAGCTGGGTTGGTGGAGGATAGTAAGCACATATCCTACTACTTGGACAGTCACATCTGCTCCAACTAACTGTGCCATGTGGAACTGCAGGCTCAGTGAGGTCAGATCTGAGTTTTTAGATAGGAGCAATTTCTTAATTTTTGTGGCTTCATGGTTTTGTGTTATTTTGAGACTGGGTCTTGCTGTGTAGCCCAGGCTGGCTTTGGTCTTGAGGTCCTCCTGCTGCAGCTTCCCAGGGACTGGGATGACAGGATATGCTGCCATGCCTAGCCAATTTCTCAGTTTTTTAAAAGTGCAAGACTCATAAATGAACAGTTTTGTTTTGGGGCCTGGGTCATCAGGGGTCCTGGGGGGTAACTTCCCCTGTCATAGTTGTGGCCTGGCTGCTCCATCCTAGCTCTAGAGGTGCTCCTTCATGTGACAGCATCTCTCCTTACAGCATGAGGAATTGTTGAGGCCAAGGCTGAGGCTGAGACTGCCTGGAGCGGTGTCCATTGAGCAAGTCTCTATTCCTGGTTCTTACAGAGGGGATGCTTTGAGGGGTGATGGAAGCGCCTCACTGTCCCCCTCATCTCTTCTCCACAGAACCAGGGACTCCCACTAAAGGGAAATCCTACACAGGCCTAGGCAAGAAATCCCGGCTGATGAAGACGGTGCAGACCATGAAGGGCCACAGCAACTACCAAGACTGCTCAGCCCTGAGGTCGCATGTCCCTCACTCGAGCTATGGCACCTACGTCACCCTGGCCCCCAGAGTCCTGGTGTTTCCTGTTTTTGTGCAGGTGAGCCTGTGGCTGGTCCCAGGGTTCCCTTGGGAGAATGTGAGAACAAGCAGGGGCCTTCCTTGGTCCCAGGACTGGGATGAAACCTCACAGAGGACCCAGAACTCCCTTTGGGGATAGAAAAATAGCTTCAGAGGCTTATTATTCTAGAGGTTATCAGGGGAGCAGAAGTTTCCAGAAAGTTGTTCAGGGGCTTGCTTTTCCCTCTGGGAAGGGCAGGTGTAAGATGCTCGCTGGCAGGAATGTCACTGCCTCAACCAGAGGCTTGGTGGTTTACACTGACAGAGGGAGAGCTTGTGTCAGTCCTCTTGCTCTGGCAAACATGTCTGGCCCGCATTTGCTGATAGCTCAGGAGTCATAGGGATTGCCTTCTGCTTCTCCCCTTTCTTCTCTGGCATGTTTTCCATCTCCCCTC